CTGTGAATCGCACACATTCATTCACATCTGCTCACAGATATTACCCATGTATTCTTCTGCTGGGCAAATCATCTTGGGTGATATCTGTCATCATCCATAGCTTCCTGGAAGAGGGAAGTCTGTGAAAAAATTCTTAAAAGGCTACAGTGGCTGGATGTAGACTTCCTACACAGCAGAGACTGTTTTGAATTGGTCTTTGGGCTCCTGCTCTTCACAGCAAAACGGAGCTCGTGCAGTTCGTGTCCTTTCACTTTGACTAAACTCTAAACTGATGGTTGGATTTATATACCATGTAGAGTTGAGGAATCAAGATTGTCAAGACCACACCAGTTTGCACCAACTGCATTTTTTGAGATGCAAAAATCTAATGATGATGTCAATTTGATATGGTGTGATATTAGAAGAACGCATTCTGTAATATTGTTTCAGCTTCTTTTCATGCTATAGTAACCAAGAACAAACTGTGCATACACAGAATGAGAATCCTCATGTTCTTTCTGGAGTATCCTTTGAATTTTGTTCAAATGGAAACTGTCTGATCACGTCTTTCTGGAGTCTGGCTGGTTTACCGAACCATTGCCCAAAGGTTTAGTCTCTCGCTGGTCTGAGGCTTATGTTTTCTGTGAAGCTAGCTACTCAGACTGGAAGTTTGGAGACCTGTCAGACCCTGTTAGACATAGATCAGACCAAAGAGCTTAGGAGCACTTTGTCACAATGTGGTAAAGGAACAGCCAGTAGTTATTCATATATGCAAGCTAAAATTATCACAAACAGCACAGTACAAACTGGTGCCTAGGTGACTATATACATTCCAGCCTCATCCCCAGATATGTTGCAGCCAGTCTTGAAATATTCCTCTTGATATAGCAAAGCTACCTTTTTTGATTGATCAATATAATACAGTTGATCAGTGTAATGCAATTTATGTTTTCTGTTATAAACTCCTCAGTAAAGACTAAGGGAAATAGTCTTTGCATGCGGTGGTAAATGACATGACCAGTTCTATATAGTTTATAACATATTAATGTTTTCCAAGCCTCTCACCCACATAACTGCATTTTGGGTTCTTCAGACTAGATAAATATAAGGTAATTGTCTCTGTAGAAAAAATATTTCAGTTGTTTTTTGTTATCTCTAGGTGTGTTTAATTTTCTTATCTTCAGTTTATGGCCCCTTGCAGTTTAGTATTACTTTTAAAATAAAATCCTGGTTACCAAAGTAGCAGCTTGCTGCTGAGATCGAGTAACTGTAATCTGGATTAGGAACTATACGCGTGAAACAGAGAGCTGTATTTTATTGCTAGCGTATTCCTCAGCAGAGCGAGTATCCAGTTCAGTTCTGTTTTTTCCAAATGTAAATTATACACAGCAGCCTTGCCTGTCTGTGTTGGTTTAGGAACTTGCTGTAGCCACTCTCTCAAACTGCTTGACTGTCATTCTTGCTTAGTTGTGGTAATTACCAGCTGGTCAGTGTAATCAAGGACAAAATGCATTTTCATTGTATGCTAAGCAACTACGATATGTGATTGCTCTGTGTGAAAATCCATGTAATATGGGTTCCTGTACTTTTTTTTTATTAATGTGTAAATAAGGGCTTTTCCAGTTAAACATTGCTTTCACAGTGTCAGGGATGTGGGATGTACACTGCAGTTAAAATTGATAAAACAAACCCTGTGCTCTTATAAATATCTTTATTCAGCTAAATGAATAAAGCTTTTCTGAAAGATTTGGTGCCCTGGAGACTAGGGTGGGGCAAAAGAATAATGGGGAAGAACTAATTTCAATGACATTAATGAGCTCAGTTTTTCAGAACAGCATTAATCCCCTGTTTCACTTGCTGGCCCTGATCAAGACTTCAGTGAATGGTGCCTTGAATCAGAGGAATGCCTTAGTAGTTTAAAAAAAAAACCTGCAATAAAATCTGCAAGTTAGGTGAAGCTGAAGCTTGCAATGTCTCCTTTCCTTGGATAGTTTAAAGAAAAAATACATTTATGAAAATTTAGTTTACAGGAATTTGAAGGGCCTTAATGAAGAATTTTGATTACTGGGCAGTGATAGATACTCTAGATTTTACATAATTCCTTGGTAACATACTAAGCTTTTTATACTGGACAGAAGAGAAGAATAGTTTTGGAGGCTCTGTGAAGAAGGACTTCATTTATTTTTTATGTACTCAGACTCTGAACATACAATATTTACATAAAGTAATAAGCAATTTGCATGTGTGTGTTGAGAAAAAAAAAGTAATCACCAGAAGAGAGAACCTTTAGGAGGAGGCAGTTTCACCTCTTTTGATGGAGAATTGCTTTTGAAGAAATCAGGATGAACCTTTATTGGCATAAGATTCAGCAATTTACGTTTTTGTCCAGCTGTGTCCATCCTGAGGCAGATGTTTGCTAAAGGCTACCTTCCTGGCCAGGAGCAAATTGCAAGAATACCTGCCTACTGTCTGTGATAGTTGCCCATCTATCCGTTCCTGATCCCTGTTTAATTCACAAGAGCTTGCAAAACTGATATAAATTACATTTGTCTGTTCCAGGTTGAAGAGTATTTTAATATGCTTGTGATTGTATGAGGATATGTTTTGCCTTGCTGTGTATTTGAGCCAGTTATACTATACATATTAGAAGTGTGAAAGCTTGTATTTTGCTGTCTTGGCTTTTGGGAAATCTTTAATATCTTGTCACGGTTACAATTAATCTGCATGTGTTTCAGCAATTAGTGTGTATATGTAGCATGCAGCAACAGATTCTGGAAGCTGTTAGTCAGCATCTGTAATTGGCTTCTGAAAAGAAGTGAGAAAAATGGAAGTATTTACTGCCTATATTTGGCAACAGTAACTTTTGTTGTCAAACATACTTTCTGCCCTGAATTCTTTGTCGCTACATCCAGAAATGCACTCCAAACATGAGAACAACAACAAGTTTGGTATCCATTTGTAACCACCTGTTTGATAAAGATGTTCATTATATCACTTTTTAAATTAGTTCAAATTCTTTGTTCTTTGGCCATTTTATGATGCTTGAATTTGAATTCTGTTTAAAGGGAAACTACCTAATAACATGTAATGTATACGTAATTATTTTTAAATGATTATACCACTCAATACAACAGAAAGAAGCATAGCTAAGTATTAACAGTTTAAAAAAAACCAAACAAACCTCAAAACTAAAATTTAGAAACTCAAAACTTAAACTTTTATTATATTTTTTTCTGATGGGAGTGAGTACAACTGGGTAGTTTCTCCAAAAAGAAAAATTGAGCTGGAGCAGGGTAATGGTCCCTCGTCAATCAGAAATAGCCTGCCTGCTTAAGGAGGGAGAGGATGTATTTAAAGCCTACAACTAGACGTTGCCTTTTCTTCACTATTCCCCATATGTCCCAACAACTATTGTTGACAGCTGTCTGCTGGCCAAGTTCTCTGAGTGCAGTATATTGAAGGGAAACAAATAATACCAGTTCTTATACCTGGATTGACTGCCTGTTGGTTTGTGTGGATTTTACAGTGTTTTGACATACAAAGTATACATCTTTTGAGATCTGTCTACCTGAAAAACCTCCTCTTCCCCCCCATATATTTAGGTATGAATTGTGTAGAGTTCTAGAGCTGCAGTCACCTTTGCTGGGTCATTTCCAGAGTTTCCCCAAAACAGCCTGAAGATCTTAATTTTTAATACATGCTAGATAGGCATTGTTTGTTAGGGAGTCTTAACCATTATCCAGATGTGTGAGATTGGGTTTTAGGTTGGTTGCGTGTGACTACTGACTAATGAACTAATTCACGTTTATGGGGTAAGGTTCCTGTTTGGCAGCTTGGTGGTAATTCTTTTCTTTATGAATTTTTCAAATAATTACCATGGTGGCTGGAGGTATGAATGGAGATCACCTCTTTTTATTTCAATCAAAGCAAAAACATACAAATGCATGTAAAATTGTGACCATTATATAGTTAGTATCATCTTGTATCTTTTTTTTTGCATTTCATTTTTTTAATGGTCCATTATATTTTTATTCACTGTTGATTATTCTTGAAGCACTTGGCATTGTTAGCTTATAAATCAAGTGGGCTGTTGTCAGAAATCTGTCACTATTGCTCATGTAAAGCTTAATCTCTTTTTGCATGCGATTGAACCATTTTAAAGTGTGTTTGTGTGTGCATGTGTGCACACACGCATGCTTGCCCTTTTCATATAAATGACCTCATGGACCCTGTACAGAGTAGAACTTCTGTTGCTCAAATTTTCCAAAAATGTCTTCAGGGAAGAAACCAGGGCTGGAAAATTTCAGCCTGGACAAGTAATGTTTTGGAAATCTGCAATTTAAAGGACTGAAAACAGCTTCTCTACTAGTGCAGTGTCAGAAAGTCTGAACTGTGGTAGTTATTGAGGCTCTTAAACCCTAGTACAAAATACAAATTGATATAGCTTAGTGAGGGGTTTTCTTACTATTGGTACTCTGTTGGGTTGTCATTGCTTGTGGTTGCTGTGAAGACACCCAGCTAGTTCCCAGGACAACATTACAGGCTACAGCTCCTATTAGTAGGTCCAGAGAGATTTCGTTGACCTGATTCTGGTGGCATCATCTTTAATTTGTAAAAAGAGTATGTGCTCTTCAGTAAAACAGTGTTACGGTTCACAAGCTTTTTTGAAGGTGTGCAGGAGGTGTTTACAACAAATCAGTTTCTCATGATGCATTACAAAGAGGCTTTAGTGGTTGGCAACAGGCAAAGCTAACGAAGTTTGCTTTGATATAGAGTACCTGTAAAGCAAGTTTTGGGTTAAGCTGAAGAAATGTAGTGTATCAGCAAGGTTGGGTCTAATTGGAATATTCCTGCCATTTGCTAAGAGAGTTAAACTGAGGGGACTGCTTTCCTCTTGAACTACATAGTATTGGTTCCTAGATATCTGGACTTCAGAAATGCACCTATGGTAGACATGCAGACTTTCAAGGCGAAGCATATTTTGTACGTCTTCCTAATGGCATTTTTTTTTATTTCCATAGGTGGTGATGTGACGGTGACAGAACCTAGCAGCTCTGATAACCGTGTGGAGAGATCCGATCTTTACACAAATGTGGATGAAGCACTCATAGGCGGTGAAGCTAGTTACCTGTCTCAGCCTCTTACTCCAGAGAAGGATGATGCACTTCAGGCTGCAACAGTTGCTAACCTGCGGGCAGCCCTCATGAGTAAGAACAGCCTGCTGTCTCTGAAAGCTGACATGCTGAGCGAAGATAGTTCTCTGCTCTTCGAATACTTACCCAAAGGCACACATTCTTTATCTTGTAAGTTTGCACTTTTATTTTATTTTTTTGTGTAACGATACATTTGCAAAGTCATTTGGGAGAAAAGCAGGAAATATAGATCATTTTAGATTTATCAGAACTGTTTATACAGACTTTTAAAATTGCATGTACAGAAACTTATGCCCTCTACCCTGCCTTTCATGTGTATTCCATAATGTTCAGAAACTGTTATTGGTAATATTATACAGCATATCTTTAACAGCAACAACTGGAAATACAAAAAGGTGTTGCAGAAGTATATAATAGATATATTAGGACACTAATAGTGTCTAAGTAGCATGGCTCAACTCTGGGAAAATGGTAGCTATGCATGGAATGCAAAATGCTTGATCTCTTCAGTTTAAAAAAAAAAAGATACTATGAAGGTTTTGAATCCAAATTTGACCAGTCGTAATGCTTGATGGGAGGAAATCATTGTTTCAGTAACGTTAAAAAGTACAAGAGTAGTAGTTGACCTGTTTATAACTCTGCTTAACCTATTTTTTTCCTTACTGCTGTGTTTTGTTTTTAGCTAATAATGACCAAGTGGTTTGTGCAAGTGAACTAACTTCCATTTTGTTCAATCACAAAAAGAGTTGCTTGTTTGGGTTTTGTTCGGCTTTTATGTTTCTTTTATGAAGGAGGAACTAGTTTATTTCAAACGATGGAACTGAAAAAGGAAGGGCAATCAATTGGATTCTTTTATTGATGACTTGCACATTTGCTAAATGTCCTGCACAGCAATAGCAACAGACATTCTCTGCATTAGTCATTTAAAGCTACTTTTTTGAGTCTGAAAAGTTGTCAACATTGCATGTATAATGACACCCTGCTTATCATAAGACAGACAGTGAGAGATAAGTCACAATTGCACTGGAGTGTAAATGTTGGTGGTTTTCTAAGAACAGATCTGTTTCTTCCCAGTTGAACAGGCTGCTAAGTCATTTTGATTCTTTGGGATATAATGTTAAGAAAACTTTGTCAATGCAGTGATAATGTGGGGAGAGACCTCAGGGCAGAGTAGAGGCTGGAGCAAAGTTAAAAGCTGTTACTTTCAGAGAGATTTTTTTTCCTTCACTCAATAAAAAAAAGTTGAAAGCATATTCACATTTGAATGGATTTAATTTTTTTTTTGTATTTTTGATCACAGGAAGTGTGCTTGGTTACTTTTAACCCAGTAATCACTGTATATTGTACAGTAACTACAGGAGATGACCATGTAACTGCCATAAACATAACAGCAGATCTCTCTTCTTAAATCAGTCTAAAAGAAAAAAAATGTAGGGGATTGAGATTTTTGTGAGCTTTTTTGGAAGTTTGAGAGTTTTGGGGGGGTTATTTTATGGCTTTTGCAGCTCCTATGTTTCATAGTTTCATAGTTTCTAGGGTCGGAAGGGACCTGAGCAGATCATCTAGTCCGACCCCCTGCCATGGCAGGAAGAGTACTGGGGTCAAATGACCCCAGTAAGGTGGTCATCCAACTGCCTCTTAAAAACCCCCAGGGTGGGAGCCTGCACCACCCCACTTGGAAGCTGGTTCCAGACTCTAGCCACCCTGACCGTGAAGTAGCGCCTCCTGATGTCCAACTTAAACCTTCCCTCCGCCAGCTTGTGACCATTGTTCCTGGTCACTCCTTGCGGCGCTCGGGGGAACAGGGACTCCCCCAGCGCCTGCTGATCCCCCC